GTTCTGTGGGGTAGTAGGAATATCCATTTCCGTGTCCACGCTACTACAAGGAGATTCTTCTTCTCTTCTTATTCGCATCTCATTACATACTTGCCGAATTGCTCTCTTGTTTTCGGTTGAGGGGTGTGTCTCTGTAGCCTTTGGCCTAAGCTGGCACATAGGGTCGTCAGAGGCATGAGGGCCACTACAGTGTAGGCACTTCAGTTTACACTGAGAGTGTCTAATACACCTAGGGTGGAAATCTTCAGTGTGCTTGGTAGTACCACATAGGCGGCATCGCTGGTTCTTGCCACAGTTCCTTGAGTTATGCCACATCCAGCACTTGGAGCATTGGGTAACATTAGAGACTTTAGGAAGTCGCTTAAAGAAGGCTCTTCTTCCGCTGTCAGCGTGATATAATTTGGATTAGAAGTTTGGGCAAGACTTGCAAGTCCATCTCGCAATCATAGATCTAATGTACCAGCATGTGTTATACAACCCAGTAATTGTGCCTCTCCATTTGGATGTGCCAATAAGGTAACATAACATGATGCCCTACGGCTTCAATATATCAGCATGATGAAGATCAACAATCGTTGATGGCTAAATCATGGAACTCAAGCGTATCTTTTGTGAGTGGTGAACTCAAATAATGTTAATTGTTCACTTCAACGGTGTTAGTTGAACTTACGAAACTTAGCAAAAAGAAACCCAAAAACAAAGAACAAATCTTTCGGCCATAAACATTCCCATATTAACTGAAGGTGCCTCGATACAAGTACTGGCGATAATAATAATTGTACCCGTGAATATTCCCGCACGTCGTCCAAACCTATTATCAATTGGGCCCGTAAGGAACACTACAGGAATCAGCGTATTAACAAAACTAATCAAATACTCAACTCTACTCGAGTAGTACTCGAGTTAAGTTAAATAGTTATGATTAGGTATTTCCGTTAAGTTAAGTAGTAGATTCAACTATTCGAATAGTACTCGAGTAGTTATAGATAACGTGACTATAATATAAGAAACTTATCCTTAAATAGTATATACTAAATACAGGGGTACTTGGTAACGCGGACTCATTAGCACCGGCCGCCCGAAGTCGGCCTAGCAAGTCGGGCGCGCTATAGAGTATCAGGCCGACACTACTCGAATTTAATACGCTGACAGGAATTGATCCGATATTACATAAAGCAGTATCAAACTAGTAATGGCCCCCACTTGTGACAGGCCAAAATATTGTTAGTATTGTTAGTATTGTTTCATCGCGTCTATAGCTCTATTGCGATATTAGGCCGCGTTTTATATCCAGTAACGCATGATTGAAACTCACCACATCAATGAGCAGTTGAATCCATTTAAACAACCACAGAGATAGGCAGTTACTAAAACATTATAGAGAAGAAACATGAAAAGAGTCCATGGCATCGTCCGATGGTGTGAGGGTTGGAACCCATGATGGAGGCTCGGGCCATGCCCTCGCTAAGCACTGACCAAAGTCCCCGCTCAGCATTGGCCATTGCTCCACTGCTAAATTGGTTTCTCCTTTTCTACACTTTTCTACTCTATTCTTTTGACGTCACGTATTTGTCAAACAGTTTCTTGGAAGACTCCAGAAACTCTTCCTCTCTCTATATGTAGAGGAAGAGATTGCATGTATGTAGTCTTCACGCACTTCTTAATTGAATATTCGAAACCACACCTTTGAGCTATTCGAGGTCTGGCCTCTCACAGATGGTTTGACCTCGGTAGCAATCAGAACAGCATCATTAACTGCGAAACATTGGCTTTCTCATCTTTTTCCATTGTATAGAGTGCCACTCTCCTGGATTGAGACTTGAAGTAAAAGATTCTTCGTTCATCCACAGTACTAGGTTGTTATTTTTTGGAATGAGAGGGGTAGCAATATATAGCTGCAGCTCCCCCAAACCCTTGCAACTCAACCGGGAAACAATATGGCTGCTAACCTCTGCCATGACCAACCAAACCGTTTGTTCCCATTAACTTACAAGGCTACTGAGTTGACTTTCCTAGTCTGGAAGAATATCGAGCCATTGCATTTGAAGTTACGATCAGAGATAACAGCAGCTTTTTCTTAATATGTTCATAGTACAAATCTTCGATTAGCCTCTAATTTATACACAGGGCCGAATGCAACCTTACTGCCAACGCGGGGTTGATAATGTGGGGTAGTGATGGGTTTAGTTGTAGGGATCGTCAAAGGCAACGAGCCGCGTTTGCTAGATTCTTATCGTTAATTATCACACCAAGAATAAGTAAGAGGGGCGGGTATTAACACCCCTGAGTTATAAAAATATTATCCTAAAGACCTTATAGAACTAAATCACTTATAAGAATAGTTCAGAACAAGTAACACTTTTCACTCCTTATTAACCGAGGTAAAATAGGACAATTAATTAAGTTGTGCCAGACTTTTGGTATAATAACTTTTAATGCCGTGTAAGATATATAGTCGTTACTCTATATATACTATATAAAACTCTATTATACTAAACTTGTAGTACAAGCAAGATAATTGTCTTAGGATACCTAGGCTAGTGAAAAGTAAGAGTTAATAATTATACGAGCTCTTTACATAACTATTTTAGTTGTGCGACGTTTTTAGAATAATTTTATTCTAAGAGAGGTGTGTACAGAGTAACGACTATGTCTCTTACAAAGCAATGCCCAGATTTCTTACAGTAATAGATTGTGACCTAGCCTTAGTGTAAAAGCCTCAGCTCCCGTGGAACTTTAAGTTAGCAACAAACTCATAACTCTAATAATATTCTATTCCAATTGAAAAACATCCAACAATAGTGTTAGAACGTAACCAATAAGCGACGTCCGGGGCTGTTCGGGGAATGGGAGGTGGAGAATTGATCTTACCTGAGCCAATGAAATCCCGCTATGCGGCTGTGAAAAATCGCTCCCCGAACTTCCGCGGACTCACACTGGCCAATCTTTTCACAGTCATACCTCCATCTCAACTTGTCAAGACATTAGAGGTCACGAGCAATTGGGAAAATTGACCCCCCCACTCTTTATTGTTGCCTTCAAATGCAAGTGTTAAGGTTATCCGATAGCAAGGATTCAAATGTAGGGTTATTCCCCCGAAGGAATTACCGTAAGAGAATGGCGGAAGGAATCATCGTGGCGGTTCGAGTACAGCAGCAGTCGGCTTTTACGAGGCTTCTTTGACAAACGTGGTCTTCATTACGGCCGCTCAAATGCAGTGAATATTATACTTAACGTTTTCCTCCTAGCGATATTTCTTCTTATGTCCAAAATTCCTCTCTCGAACAAGATCAATCATTTAGAGAAAAATTCTTCTCTCACGTGGCACGCTCACAAATTCTCAAGATGCCAGACTCGATCTCTGGAATACCAGAAAAAGATGACTTCCAAAACGAGCTTGTCTTTGAGAGAAACCGACTTCCACCAAGAGCATACTTTATCCCAAAGCACGCTCTGAATCTCAACGGGCGTTGGAAGTTTCATTATGCTTCATGTCCTGCTAAGGCTCCATCTGAGTCTGAAGACATTGAATCAATTGAAGGTTCATCAACAATCGACGTTCCAGGCCACTGGCAGCTACAGGGCCACGGCAAGCCACACTATACGAATGTTCAATTTCCATTCCCAGTCTGTCCACCCTATGTTCCTTCCGAGAATCCAGTGGGAACCTATTCCACAGAGTTCAGAGTACCTTCCAAATGGAATGGTGGAGGCGAAATGAGTTACCGATTGAGATTCGAAGGCGTCGATAGTGCATTCCATCTCAGTGTTAATGGCTCTCCATTTCAAGCGAGGTATAGTCAAGGAAGCCGTAATCCTGCAGAGTTTGACATCACCGACCTTTTGACGAAAGATGGATCAAATTTGAATAAAGTCACAGTTCGTGTTTATCAATGGTGTGATGGGAGTTATATAGAGGATCAAGATCAATGGTGGCTTTCTGGTGAAGTTACTTCGATTCTGTAATCATTCTTTGGCTAACAGAAAGACAGGCATATTCCGAGATGTTTATTTAATTGCATTTCCGACACGGGGCTATATCGAAGATTTCACTGTGCGAACAGAGCTTGATAAAAATTATCAGAACGCGCAGTTGACACTTGATCTTGTGTATTCCCTAGCAAGAGCATCAACCGTTATTGTTAAGCTTAAAGGTCAGGGAACTGCACCTATGGTCTTTGAAAAAAAGCTTGAACTTGAACCTCAATCAACCAGCAAAGGCTTCAGTTTCGATGTCGAAAATCCCCTGAAGTGGACCGCCGAAACACCTGCACTCTATAACCTTTCAATTCGGCTTGGCGAACAATCCGAGAAACAAGAGCCACTTCAAACCATCCATCAAGAAGTTGGATTTCGTAAGGTTGAGATCAAGAATGGGAATTTGACCGTCAATGGCAAAGCTGTTCTTTTAAATGGAGCAAACCGACATGACCACCACGCTAAATATGGCCGAGCTGTTCCACTGGATTTCATACGTCGAGACCTCCTTCTCATGAAGACTCACAATATCAATGCCCTGCGGTGCTCCCACTACCCTTCTCACCCTGAAATCTACTCGATGGCAAACCAGCTTGGGCTATACGTCATGGATGAAGCAGATTTGGAATGCCACGGATTTTACGACGCGGTTGCAAGGCCTTTGGAGATTCCCGAAAGCAAGCCATACGAAGAGAGGAAGTTGTTGACTTTTCCACAGTCTGCTAAATTTACTACTGACAAGGAATCGTGGCAAGGGGCTTATGTGGAAAGAATGAAGCAGATGGTTCATAGGGATAAAAACCACCCGTCTATCATCATGTGGAGTTTGGGTAACGAAGCTTTCTATGGGAGGAATCACAAGGCTATGTACGACTGGACCAGACAAGCGGATCCAACTCGTCCGGTACACTACGAAGGAGATGCAAAAGCGCTATCGGCCGACATGTTTAGCTACATGTACTTACCAATCCCAGAGTTGATCAAACGAGCAATCGAGGATGGAGATGATTTCGAAAAACCAATCATTCTCTGCGAGGTAAGCGAACCTCCATTTTTCTCGTCATTTCCTGGAGCAAATCCGCCTTCCATCCTTTTATTCTTTTATACCATATTAATGCAAGCGGAGTCTAACATGCCATTAGTTTGCTCATGCCATGGGAACAGGTCCTGGGGCATTGAAAGAATACCATGATGCATTCCTTGCCCATCGTCGGCTTCAAGGTGGTTTTATTTGGGAATGGGCTGACCATGGATTGCAAACCACAACCAAAGATGGTGGGCCATTCTTCGCTTATGGTGGGGATTTCGGAGACTTTCCCAACGATGGCAATTTCGTCATGGACGGTTTATGTGACTCGGAACATAACCCGAGATCAGCTCTAGTGGAAACCAAGAAAGTGTTTGAACCAGTCCGTATCCAGAAAGTGGACGACAAGTTAGTAATTACAAACTTGTACGATTTTGTCTCACTGGATCATCTTAAGGCACATTGGAAAATTTCCAAATTCTCCACTGGGTAAGACTTGCTATCATTGATGATTCCTGCGAATATGCCTAACATTCTTGCAGAGCGAACGAATCAGTTTTGGCATCTGGACCTCTGTCACTACCAAAAATTGCGGCCGGAAACTCTGCAACAATTGATCTTCCAGGCCTGGACCATTATCAACCTGGAGGTGGCGAATTCGTCGTTTCTATCTCCCTCGAACTTGCCTCCTCGAACCTGTGGGCAGAAGCTGGGCACCAGATTGCGTGGGGCCAATTCCCACTCAGCAGAATCGAGTCCAGCAGTACTGAAAAGGCTCATGGTTTCGATAGCCCAGTTATATCTACTCATAAAGCAATCCTATCATTTTCCACGTCGGATCTCAATTTTCAATTCGACACCAGCACAGATCAAATCATCAAATGGGCTGTAAGAGGAAAAGACATCTTCGATGGCGCAGAAGGACCACAACTAACATTCTGGCGTGCTCCCACGGATAATGACATACCCGAAATTGCCTTATATTGGGCGCTCTTTGGTCTCGATTCCATGGAAAAACAAGTCCGATCCTATATTCATACTTGTATCGACGGGGTACTAGAAATCACAGTCAAGAGCTGGATTGGCCCTCCCATTCTCGCTTGGGGGTTTGACACAACTACAAAATATATTGTATCTGGAGATGGAAGCATCAAAATTGACATCTACGCTGAGCCACAAGGTCCATTTCCAACCACGTTACCGCGATTCGGGCTCGAAATGGAATTAGCGAAAGATACCAGCACGGTAAAATGGTACGGTCTTGGACCAGGCGAAACCTACCGCGACATGAAACAAGCGGGTAAATTGGGAGTATGGGCAAAAGAAGTTGACCAAATGATCACTAGCAACGCATTTCCTCAAGAAAGCGGGAATCGAACTGACACCAAATGGATCCATCTTCTCAATCCCAAGGGCACAGGACTCCAAGCTGAAATGTGGTGCGAAGAGCCATTCGGGAATGGAAGTTTCGACTTCAACGTAAATAGACATACAGCACACGAATTGGAGAAGGCGAAACATCCTCATGAATTGGCGTCCAGTGATAAAGTCATCTTCCGGATTGATGGGTCGCATCACGGGCTAGGAACTGCGAGCTGTGGCCCACCTACCTTGGAACAGCATTCCTTGGAGACAGGAATCTTGGATTTTGTTGTGGTTTTGACCCCTATGGCTTGAGAGATTTCCTGAAAAAGTGTAGCAAATCTGGGTTTGATACCAAAGTAGGTATTTTTCAAGAATAGAAGCTTGTCAATATGTAACAAGCAGTGGATCTTCCCATGAATACAAGAAACGCAAAAATGCCCAGGGTTATATTATCCTCCGCTAAGAGTGGGGCTCAATACTGTATCATTCTCCAGAAATTATAATTAGAACGCCGTCGGTGTGTTGGCCGTTACAAATTTATATATGTCCTCTCCACTGAACCCCCGTAATCAAAGAATGTGGTCGAGACTCTGTTCCTATCAGCTCAAGCTTCAGGAAAAATGTCTTGACTATTCTAGGCATTTCAGTTAAATGTTTTGGTTTCCCAGAACAATTACTCGAGTAGAGTAATTGTGTAGTAGTTTGGTTTAGGTTAACTCAGCAGATTGTATTTTTCTGCCACTTTTAATTTTCTCGTCCACCAGGAGAAGAAAAGTCACAAAATGAGCTAGGGAAAAACGGGAAACACATAAAAATCAACAGTAAACAATTTAAATTCATTCGGTTCGCACGGCGCTAAGCTAAAGATCCAGCGACATGGCTCCTTAATTTTTCGGCGGCAGCGTCCTGCCTCCATCCTGACCAATCATGGTTGTACAGCGCCCACGTCTCATCTCTATCTTGCTCGCCCTCTCGAATGTAATAACTGGTATGAAGTTAGAATGGCCCTACAACTAATGTTTTTTATCCGAATTTGCAAAGTCTCAAAACGTACCTTCCGGCAATAGCCCACATCATCCATCCAGCTTTCATCTGTGGCAACCAAGTCGCCAAGCAGGTGGCATAAACTCCCTTATACGCCTCAGTTGTTTGATCATGACCCCATTCTGTAAGTAAAACAGGCATAACGTTCTGTACTTCTGCATTGTTTTCGTCCAAGGCATTGAAGCCGTTTGTGTAGAGGCCGTCCGTTATCTCTCTGCATTCTTTTGCTTCAGTCTGGTAGTTGTGGAGCTCGAGGACCATTTTGTTGGCGTATGTAAAATCTGCTTTCTTAAAGTAGAGTTCTTCGCCGAGGTGCTGACCTGTGGAGATGGCTGATAGATCTGTATCGTAATTGCTAGATTGTGATGTTAGCAGAATTCTGGTTAAAAATGGGTATAAACGGAAATAGAAGGTGATTCTTACAGGCCGCTGTACAAGATGAGTAGATCAGGATTGGCGACATTTACTTCGTTTGCAGCTGGGATCTAAGCAAGGCAAAAAAAGAAAGCTGTTAGAGATGTCTCACACTTGATGGTACTTTGGTTAACTTAAGGGACTTACCATGTTCTTGTACCAGGTTGCCCAGTTGTAGGTTGCTTCAGCGGCAGGCACTGATGTTGGTTTTCTTAATTCGTTTCGTAGCTTTTTAGAACATTAGTCATTGAAACTCAGAAGCACAAATATCTCATGGGAGTTCATTTACACCGAGGCCCACTAAGCTTTTCCAGTCTTTGCCCTACATTTATTGTTAATCAAATCCCATTCGCCAGAGTGTAGAGCACTTACTCGAGTGGCCATGAAGTTGAGACCTCGCTTCCAGTTATCCGTATTAAAATGAGTGTCACCCCACCAAGAATTGCCGTCGTACTCTTTGCAGCACCACATTCCCTTTGAGATATGGTTATCGAGAACTATCCAAATCTGTTGCTTGTCTGCTTCTGCGGCGATTGCATCAAAGACCTGCAGTCTTGTCGTTTCGGGGGTGAAGGTAGGGTTGTTAGCGAGGACTTTGTCGAAAACCGCTTGGCCATTATCTGGCCCAAGTGCTGCTTGGAAACTCTCTAGAAGTGGTGTATCTTTTCCTTTGTCAAAATGCTGGTCAATCATTTCAGTTGCGAATGTTAACCGAATGGCATTCATTCCTGTTCAGATGTCTTAGTGGGTGCAAAATTTGTGTGTTTTGCAGGTTACTTACCTAAACTTTTAATATCTGAAACGATAGCCTCAATTGACTAGACACCAACCCATTAATTAGTATAATTCTATTTCCCCGTCACGAGTTTTCTAAAAACTAAAGGAAGTTCTTACCTTGTATTGGAGTCCTTCTGGTGTCATTGTTTCTCCCGCACCGGGCCAGTTGATTCCGGCAAAAGTAACATTTTCCCCTTTATCATTTTCAATCCATCTGCCGTTGGTGACAAGTGGACCACCGTAGGCTGCAACAAGTACGGAGCCAACGAAGGCGAGAGGCAAGAATGATTGAAAGTGCATCTTCAGGTAAAAAGAGTGTAAAACCGAGCGGTTACTGAAAGCAAATTCTGAATGACGCCTCCCTGACTTATATAACAAAAGATGGATACACGGTTCCACCAAAGAACCCCACTATGTTATCTCGACACCTGGATATACGAAGTATTTCCTGTGAACACCATCGTTTGATGATTACCCCTCTCCGTGCTTGGTCCGAGCCCTGGGGTATTGGCGATCAAGCCCACAAGAAAGAGGCGTATCACGTTTGATTCGTAGCTGCGGCAGTCCTACCGAAGTATTCACAGTTAATTACCCCTCACTTCATCTACTTGTTACATTCCAGCTTGGAGTAGTTTGCTAATGCAGATACTATCAACAACGAAGAGATAAAATCGAGGTGTCAAGTCAACAATCGTTTCTGGAAACTGTTGTTGTTAGAGGCAAGGAGGTTACTAACATCAAGGTGATGGTGAGCCTAAGGAAGTTTAGCGTTCTTAAAAAGTGAATGGTACTAGGTTGGAATTCTACTCGAACTCGCATGTTGATACTCCTGGTGATTGTAGATAAGTAGAGAGTGGTAATCTAGGAGATTTTACTTTAAAGTTCCCAGATAGGCAAATGTCTTGGGAAAAGCTTGGGAAGTGGGTATATATGGAGATCGATTAGCATCATGACACAGGGCATAGCTAAATTCCGTACCTGAAATAGCAGTATTGTGGAGACAGCAGAGAACACCAAAACTAGGACTGCGACAATATGAATGCCTGTAGTTTCATCTGAATACGAAGTGTTGGTTCACATTTATCTTGTACTATGTATATACGAATATAGTAATCTGACCCAATAAGGCTGCTAAACACAACGGACTCGGCAAATAAATAAATCCATCGGACTTGAAATGATACGTCGCAATCAGCTTGATTGATGGAATTCTACTTGGTATCAAAGCATCAAGGTAGCCGAGATCGAGTAATCTGCCTGCATGGTTGGTGCCCCACTTCTCCGCGTATGATATTCATGTTCTTTGGTTCTCGAAGTCATGAAATACTTTCCTTCCGGAGTCATATTTGTTTCTAGGGTGGTTAAAGTGGGCGATAGTTCTATGCATTCGCTGCAATAGTTACAACCGTTACAACTGGGGCGAAGGAAGTAGACCTATTTTTTGCATGTTGGGGTGGGTGACACTATGTGTATGAGATTCTAATTTAGACTTCGTAGAGACGTTATACGAAGTACGAAGTATTCTCGAACAAATCCCGCTTGGTAGTCAACAAATCCAGGAGTTGATATTGAGACTTGGTTCCGCGGATGGACCCGCGAATATGCCCGGGAAAACCTTCCTGTTGCTAAATTGGGGTGGTTAAGAAATCCAGGTATCCACTAACATGGGGTTGGCTTGGATCAGCTGGTGCTGCACTTCTGGAAAGAATTTTGGCCTTTCTCAAAATTGCTGGTCTTGAATCGGAAGAATTACCTAGTGACGTATGATGTGTCTGTCATTGGTGTCATTTGTACCCAAGCCAAGTATCATAGAAGAAGTTTCATACCCTGTGGGTAAGATCTTGGTTCGTGATGCGGGGGAGTTCTGACATATTGGAAAATTGAAGGCTTCGAGTATCATGCAATTAATGTCTTGATCTGATTCTTCTTTTTTCTTACTGAAACACATCATACCTACGTACTGTACACGAAGTCTCATGTCTTCTCTCCTGCTGATCTTTTTTCATCGCCCACCAGGGGTCGTCAGAATTCTGTGCGCAACCCAGATTTTAGCCGAAAACACACTGAAAACGCCGTACTCGGCGTGGTAACACTTCTAATCAAATGCTCAACTCAACTCGAGTTAAGTTAAATGGGTATAATTAGGTGATTGCGTTAAGTTGAGTTAGGAAGTAGATTTAACTATTTGAGTAATATTCGAGTAGTTATATAAAACGTAACTAAAGAGATCCTATTCCTGTTCTTTACAATTATAAAGGGTCTAGATAGCTCAGGTCCCCCTACCCCCTTGTCGCTTTCAGATATGCCTCTATTTAAGCCTATTAAATTTTCAAATCGGATGATCTAATTAGCCAAGTGGGTTGTATTATAGTTTTATACCCTGCTAATAACAAATCGTATACAAGGCAGAAGCACTCGGCTAAGTACGAGTGAGCGGACCGACCGTTCGGGGCGTCCGGAGTCTAGCTAGCGAGCCCTGGCGGGTTACGAGGCATCGGGCCGATACCACTCGAGTTACTTATGACTTAGTCGAGTACTCAGCGAGTTAAGTTGATTAGTAATTTTGACTACTCGAGTTAAGTTCAGTAGGTACTACTACTTAACTTAACCACTCGAACTTACCACGCTAGCCGTAATTTACTAAATTATAAGAACTCAAACAATAATCTATACATTCTACAATTAACGATTTAACATAAGACAGATAACAGCTCCAACTTACACTATTTATTAATTTTCTAAAAGAGCTACCTCTATCATACTATAAGTATCTCTTACTCCGTAATACCCTAGAAACCGGTAGGCAGAACGTCCTAATTAGGTTTGGCAAGTAGTTTGCTTTAATTAATTCGCGAAAATTAGCGAGAGTACTAAGTCCATACCTAATTACGACGTTCTGCCTACCAGTTTCTAAGGTGTTACGGAGTAAGAGATACTAGATTTTCAGAGGACTTACCAAGGGAAAACTCCTACTAGAATATCCCCTAGGTGTCTCAAGCCATTTGTAGTAATGCGACTACGACAGCCGCCATTCTTACAGTCGCTTCGAACCTCAAGTCCCACTCCTTTCATAAAAGGGGCATCGACATCGGCTAATCAGACTTCCGTTTCCTTTTCTATAGGAGTCTTCAAAAACTTGCAAAACGCTCTCTTTGAGGTTTCGACTCGTTTCTAAGCTACTTAGGTTCTAATACGAGCGCAGATGGTGTTCCTCGAAGCGGAGCTTCCACTCGTGGTACTCTACGACGAATGTTTCGACTAATTCGATCGCTATTAAATATTTAGGGGTGGCTTACCGTTTAATTTGAGTTTATCGGTTTACCTAATACTCCGAAAAGCAGTTATAAGGGAGTCAAGTAACCCGTCCTTGACTCGGTGTCTCATTGCTTGGGGAAGAGGTCGCTAGTCTCCCAGTGGGAGCAAAACACCTAAATCAGGTGCTCCTAAAACACCTAATTTAGGTACTCTAACTTACCGCCCTATATAGTATAGGAACACCTAATATATGTATAAAATAGCTAAAAAAAAACATATAATTTAGGTGCTCCTATTTAAAGGAATTACTAAAAAAAATCTCTAAAATCTACTTTAAATAATAATTAAAATATATAAAAACCTTATAATTATATATTATAACTACTTATATACCTAAATATAAATTAAAAACAAATCCCTTACTAAGTACTATATCTTCTTTCTACTAAACTATATACCTATATAATAAAATAGTACTATTAAAAGTAACCGACTCTCGCCCTAAAAATACTATATACTTTACCTAAAAACACTATATACTTTACTATGTAATCGAATTATAAAACTCTACCCGATAGCTACTAAGCGAATATACATTACTTGTTTTAATAATAAGTATAGAAATAATAGTAAATACTATTTATCTATTCTTTATTAAAATATTAATAATCCTTTTAGCTATAGAAAAGCGTACCTTATTCTAAAGGTTAAGTTAACCCTCGCCCCTTTCACTAAATATGAGGAATTAAATTAGTTAACTAATATATAGTATAAATATACTAACTATAGGAAAGTAGTCTCAATTACTATTCTACAATTAAAAAGCGTTATATAGGTAAGATCTATATTAAGTATAGTAACCTTAAGTTATACTACTATAAACTTAGCTTATATATCTTAAGAGTATCTTAACTCTATTCTTATATAAAAGTTAAATACTATTTTTTTATAAAAAAGAATATAACCTTCTTTAGAAGTTTTTATATAGTTAATAAAATAAGATACTAAAGTACTAAGAGAAACGCTACTTTTAGTAAAAGTATATATTCTAAGTAGTAAATAGTAGATAGATAGTAGCCCCCTTACTAAATAGAAGATAAAAGTTTCTATTCCTAAATATTGAAGTTAAGAGATATAGAACTATAAAAACTTTTATAGCCTAAAGTTATATTAGCTAGTAACTATCTAAGTTTACCCTACTTCTTTATCTAACGCTCTCTTATTAGCTAGTAAGAATCTAAGCTTTTTTTACTTACTTCTCTATTTACTTCTCTTTTCTCTTCTAAAAAATTAGGTATAAGTAGAACTTAAAGCTACTTATTATTAGTAGAACCTTAGTGGAAATTAATTTCTATTATATACTAAATAGTATTAAAAGTCTTTATTTATTATTAGCTATATTAGGTTAAGGGTAGTCCTACTTATATTTAAGTCTATATATACTTATCTAAAAGAGTATTAATTAGTAAAGATAGCTTATTTTTAATAATATCTTATTTACTAGTAATAAAATAAACTATAGGCTTATTATCTTCTATAACCTTTATCTTTTTAATAATATGCTAAATCTTCGATACTTTAATAATTTCTATATATTCTAGAAATCCCTTTTTATTAATAAATATACATAAATCCTTATAATACTAAGTCTTAGATTATTAAATAAAGGCCTAAATTAGTTTATTACTAGATTAAACTTCTCCTTTAAAAATAATAATATAATAAAGGACCTACCTAATTTATACTTTATTCCCTTTGTTTTTACTATTACCCTCTTAGGACTATATAACCTAACTATTATCCTAATTATTACTAGATTTATATTAAGAAAACTTACTTCTTATAAACTACTTCTACTATAAATAAAGTTTCTTAAATATAATAATATTCTTATCTAAAATAAGCTTCTATCTATCATTAGTAATCTTATCCTAATATAAAGACTATACAAACTCTATTATATTTAAAGTTAAACCTCTAGTATATTATATATCTACAATAGGGTATTTCTTATTAAGATTAGGAGGTTAATTCTCTAAAATTAA